GGCCGTCCACTTGCCTCAGCCTCTCAAAGTGCTGGAATTACGGGCTGAGCCACTGAACCCAGCATCTTTTTTTTTTTTTTTTTTTTTAAGAGTACACTGTTTTTTATTCATGGATGAACTTGAAGTCCTTTTCTAGATGTTCCTTTCCCGTGTAAGCTTCACTTATTAGTAGGCAAAGTCCTGTAAAGGGAAGGCTTCACCTAGTCTTCATATTCTGATCCATCTTCACTTTGACTGATCTGGAAGTACCAAAGTTCATAAGTCTATTTGTCAAATGCAGCCACTCAAACCAGTCATGAAGCATGTTCTTCTTTAGGTATTTCTTGGTAAGGCATTTTAATGCCTTTTAGAGAACTGTTTCTCAGAAACAACTGTGATTTTATTCTTCAAATGTTCAATGTGAACATCATTCCTGAGATTTCTAGTTTATCTGTTGACTTTAACCTTTTTCTCCCATAGAAACTGTTCAAAATTCCATCTTCAACTGGATGAGTAAGATCCAAATTTAACTTCCAGGTTGACTTCTTAGGCTTCTTGTCTCTCTTTAGTGCCATCTTATAAGTTGGCTGAGTGACTAGAGAGGCTGTGTTGGCCTTGTGGCATGAGGGAGAGAATTCTCAGTGGGCTTCCTACATTTCTGCTCTCCTTGTGACAGCTTTTGTATCAAATACTCTTTTCAAGAATGTTAGTATGAACAGTCCTAGAACATGCAGTATGTCCTTCCAGGACAGATTTGTTTGCTTTCCTAGATAATAAAAATAATGTCTTCTTTAGGGGAAAAGTTGTGTGAGTTTACTAGTAGTCCACTTACAAGATTGGGGTTTCCTAAGTTCAAGGTTCCTCTGCTCTCAGGCTTACCGTGTGTACATTGTCCACCTGGGCTGGTCCCCATTGCCTTTGTGGGATTTGGCGGGTAAGCAGAACTAGAGTGACCAACTGTTCTGGTTTGCTCAGGATTTTCAATGTTAAAATTGAAATAGTCGTGGGCAAACGGGATGGTTGGTCGGTCACCGTAGCTAGGAAACATGTTCATGTTCATGCTGTCTGCTTTGCCGTGAAAATTAAGTCCTTTATCTTTGACTCAGGAGTCTTGTGTCTTCTGCCAGCAAGCATGACACTGACTGGCTAACTCATTAGTTTGCAGGTAGGGTAAAGTCTCACATCCCTCATAATTTTTGACAGTGAGATGTTTGGCAAATGCTTCCCTAAACCCCTTTTTTCTATACTCTTGAAAGGAGATAGTGGCATCTGCCTTGAAGAGGTGTGAGGACAAAGGCAAAGATGCACATAAAGCCTGAACACTCTTGCAGGGTTGTAAGCCTTCAATGGATGTTGACAGTTACTGTGTTGTTGTTGTTTGATTTGGAGTCTCACTCTATTGCCCAGGCTGGAGTGCAGTTTTGCTCATGGCTACCGCAGCCTTGATCTGCTTAGCTCAGGTGATCCTTCCGCCTTAGCCTTCCAAGTAGCTGTAACTATAGGCATGCACCATCATGCCTGGCTAATTTTTCTTTATTTATTGTAGAGATAAGGTCTAGCCAAGTTGCCCAGGCTGGTCTCAAGTCCATGGACTCAGGTAATCTTCTCACCTTGGCCTCCCAAAGTGACAGTTACTGCTTTATTATTGTAATTCTTATTAGATAGAGTTGTTCTAATTGAATTATCTAATTAATTGGGTTGGGTGTGATTTGTATGCATGTATCTTCTTTTTTTTTTGAGTTGGAGTCTCACTCAGTTGCCCAGACTGGAGTACAGTGGCCGCTCCCGGCCACCGCAGCCTCGACCTGCTGGGCTCCAGCGATCCTTCTGCCTCAGTCATCCGAGTAGCCGGAATTACAGGCACGCGCTACCATGCCTGGCTGATTTTTTTGATTTATTGTAGAGATGAGGTCTCGCCAAGTTGCCCAGGCGGGTCTCGAACCCGCGGGCTTAGGCAATTCACTCACCTCAGCCTCCCAAAGGTGCGGGATTACAGGCTGAGCCACCGAGCCCAGCTTGCATGTATCTTCTTTTAGTGTCTTCACATAATGAAATATATCAAATTAAAAATGCTCAAATAAGCATTTTTGATCATTTTTATTACCAAGATCAGCTTGATTCATAGTTGAGTCTAGTTGCTGATTAAAATGCTCTCCAGCTGGATAATTCAATGACCCCATCTAGTTATTGCACTTTTTGTAAAGCTCTTTTTAATCTGGTAAAACAATGTCTAATGACATTTAATGAATGATCCTTGACCTTCTCCCTTAAAGATCTCCAGGAAATAATAAAATTAAAGTTCCAGAAAACAGCCTTCAGAGACTATTTGCTTGGAATAATATGCAAGAATTTCACTTTGATCATATAAGATAAAGGCTACATATATACACGTCAATCTCACCTACTATGGAAAACAAAGTTGAGAAATAGCATTCCTATCATTTTTTTTGTATTTTCAAAGATTTTACAGATCTTTTTTTTGTTAATATGTGATATATTTATGGTTCTTTTTCCAATAGTCGTAGACTTTAGAAGAAAAATGAACCCCAGGTTTTCTTGATTAGAAGGATTCAGAAATTCAGAATAACAAACATCTGGGCAGTGTTCTGCTCATTTGGAGATATGAATAGTGCTCATATTTTGTGTGACAGAGGAATGCAACATTCCTTTCATGGTTACAAGGAAAGTGTATTTAAATTGAATGTGGTTATGAGGTGATTTGAAACAATCTAGGAAAATGGATCCATTTGGGACACTATGATTATACCTCAGTTAGCCAGTTCATTTATGTAAGACAAGAATGACAAACAAAAAAGAAAACACAGGTCCTCTGCCTCTATCAGATGTCATAAAAGAGCGGGTGGAGTTCATGCATTATTCTATTTTTATTCTGAAATACTGATTTCCATCTCACTTGCGGGCTCAGTTCAATTCTGGTTGTTTTGCAAATTTAACACTAGACCCAGTAAATTCACTCCGAGGCCATCTGCCTATTTTTTCTGAATTGGCAACTCTCTTGGTAGTTTCCTTGGATCAAATGTGAGATTTACAGCTTGATGTTTATTTGTAGGAAATAGAAAACATTAAGAAACACTGCCTAAAGGAACCAGTGAAATTCTTGGTGTGTTGCAGGTACACAAACATGGGGCATCTTTCTCTGGCCAGAGTTGAAAATCCTCCAATAGTCTCAGCCTCAAATGTATTGGTTTGTATGTATAGTAAGGAAACTAGATGCATCAATAACAACCACTAATGCACATTAAAAAAAAAAATCTTTATTATTTTTATGGAGGTAAAATTGACATAATACACCTGTTTTTTTTTTTTTTTTTGAGTAGGAGTCTCACTCTTGCCCAGGCTAAAGTGCAGTGGAGCCATCAGGGTTCACTGCAGCCTTAACCTCCTGGCTCAGGAGATCCTTCCACCTCAGCCTCCCAAGTAGCTGGGACTATAGGTGCATGCCACCATGCCCAGCAAATTTTTTGATTTTTTTTGGTAGAGATGAAGTCTCACTACGTTGCCCAGGCTCGTCTCAAACTCCTGGGCTCAAGTATTTCTCCTGCCTCATCCTCCCGAATTGCTGGGATTACAGGTATGAGCCGTAGCAACAAACACATTTTTATATTTGAAAAAACTGTTTGTTCCTGCTTTCCTTCAACTCATTTGCTCTGACTTCAGTTTTCCTTCAGCTCAGTTGCTCTGACTTCAGTCAGGAACTCCTTTTTCCATCCCATCCTCTTGGCTCTGCACATGCCTTTCTTAACCCCAAGGTCTCATGTTTAGATATTGTCTCTTTCATTCTGTATTCTCAAGGCTCTACATTATTGTCTTATTCCTGTGCTATTAATGAGATGTCTGTTGGTGGCTCTCTTCACAGGTCTAGAGCTTATGGCCCCATGACTTCAATCAGGTCTTTGTGCATCTTTCGCCCTGTTTCCGGAGTAGGTCTCCATCCTTCCCCCATAAGTTTGCAGTTCTGCAACTCTACCCTGGGCTTATTTTTGGCTTCAGCTATGTGCTCAAGAGACAACTTTGGACAAGTGGTGAACCCACCGAATCCTGACCTCCTGGTCCAGGTCATGCTTGGAGGCCTTGCCTTCTGCTGTAACCTTACTGTTAGAACTTGTATTCATTTTCTAGGGTGGTCATAACAAAGTACCACAAACTGAGTGATTTAAATGACAGAAATATGTTGTCTCACAATTCTGGAGGCCAGAAGTCCAAAGTCAAGATGTCAGCAGGGCCGTGCTCGCTTTATTGGCAACAGGGAATGATCAGTTTCAAGTCTCTTTCCTAGGTCTGGTAGCCTCAGCCATTCTTGGCTTGTAGCTGGTTGCCTTCTTCTTCTGTCTCTTCATGTCATCTTTCTTCACTGTGTGTCTGCCTCTGTGTCCAAATTTCTCCTTTTTATAAGATATAGTTGTGGGGGCCATGGTTTTTGTTACCCTAAAGGTTCGCTGAAAAATCACTGGCATGAAGCAAATTGATGAACAGGACAAAAAGCATACAAATTTTATTTAATGTGCACAATGAGAGCCTTCAGAATGAAGACCCAACTTCTTAATGAGTTACAGCAATACTATCTGGAGGTTACAGAAAGAATGGGGGTTTGCACTGTGGTAAAACAGGTTATGGGAGGGGGAGGAAGAGGAATTCTATTGAGGGACCACAAATGATTGCTAGGGGGAATGAGTGGAGGGGAAACAGAGAATGACTTGGAAATAATTATCTTAGGAAGTGGAATAAACTTGAGAGTCAGGCATATAAAAAGATTGGGCCAGAGCTGATTACATTTTTCCTCTTCTTGCCTGATAACAGGTAGAGGAAGCAGCTTGAGAAAGATGGTGGGTGTGAGGGGAGGTCAGAAAAACCTTGAGGCAAAATGTCATATGACTGTACCACTTCACAGTTATATTGGATTAGGGCCCACCCTAATGGTTTCATCTTAACTTCATCATCAGCAAATCCCGTTTTCACAAAAGATCACATTAACTGGTACTGGAGGTTAGAACTTCAGCATCTTTTTTTTTTTTTTTTTTGGGATTTAAAAAATTTTTAATGACGGAAACAAAAAACATCTAAAACCGCAGCTTCTGGAAGAACCACTTGTTCTTGCCCGTCTTGTACCTCTCTTCGAACTTGACCTTGGCTTCACGTCGGGCCTTGTGTTTAAGAGCAGGGTCTCTGAAGACATCCTTGTTGACAACGGTTTTGTCCAAGGGGATATCCACAGAGTACCTTGTGGGCATGAGGTGATTGTAGTTATAAACTTTCACAAAAGATTTGATCTTTGACCTCTTGGCAATCTTCTTCTTGCCCATCGCAGCTGTCACTTTGCGGGGATAGCGGTCAATTCCAGCCACAAGGGCATGGCTGTAGGGGCGATCTGAGGTGCCATCATCAATGTTCTTCACGATGACGGCTTTGCGTCCGGAATAACGTCCGGCCAGGACCAGCACCACCTTCCCCGGCTTCATGAACTTGCCCATTTCTACGGCAATCACCCAGGCAAACAGCAGAAAGGAAGAAAGCTTCAGCATCTTTTGGAGGGATATAATTCAAGGCATAACAGTCCCATTGCCTTCAATGTTCTATTAGTGAAGGACCAGAAATGCCCATCAAGAAATGATGAGGCTCAGGCCATGATATGAGCCCAGGAACCTGCTTGGTTCAGGGGCAGTGAGAACTAAACTCCAAGTAGGACCCACACCACACAATGTGCCCTGGGCCTTATTCTGCCACATGTATAGTCGTGTTCCCCAAGCTTTCAGCCACAAAAGTTTTTTTTTTTTTTTCTTTTCCTAATTTGCACCACCTTGATATTGAGTGGGGTGTGGCACAAAACTTGTGATCTCTTTGACTGAATCTGAAAGTGAATTTTAGAGTAGCCAGCAAAGTTTTAAAACAAAGTTTATTGGAAAAAGAAGAAGGGAAAGATAGAGGGACTTGCCAGAGTTGGTATGAGTAAGAGAAAACTGCCCTTTTTGCTTTTGACAAAAGGACTGATACATTTTCACAATAATTGATATGCTAAAGAGGGTGGAGCCCAGGTAACCTTGCTGTGGAAAAACTGACATCTCTCTGCCTCTGACGGGAGGAGGGGTGAAATGGGGTGGTCTTTTCCAGAACACGCGTTTCATCTTCGTAGACACTTGCCAGACTTTTGAATACAAAACTTCATGAGCTAAAAGATGATCTTATTATCATTTCTATGACTTTGGTCAGTATTCAGGCTTCCACCTTTGACAGGGAACCTGAAAGATTTTTAGTGATTTTTTTTAAGTTGGAGTCTCACTCTGTTACCCTGACTGGAGGGCAGTGGCATGCTCACGGCCACCATAGCCTCGACCTGCTGGGCTCAGGTAATCCTTCCACTTCAGCCTTTCAAGTAACTGGAACTACAGGCACGCACCACCACACCTGGCTAATTTTTCTTGATTTTTGTTGAGATGAGGTCTCACCAAGTTGCCCAGGCTAGTCTCAAGCCCCTGGGTTCAGGCAATCCTCTCACCTCGGCCTCCCAAAGTGCTGGGATTATGGACGTGAGCCACCACACCCAGCCTCCAGCTTATTTTTGATTTATTGTAGAGATGAGGTCTCACCAAATTGCCTGGACTGATCTTTCCAACGTACTGAGATTACAGACTGAGCCACTGAGCCTGGCCTTTAGTGATTATTATGCTAAACCATGAACTGAAATATTAGGCTGTCCTATTCTTTTTCTTTTTTATTCTTTTATTTTTTTTTGAGTTGGAGTCTCACTCTGTCACCCAGACTGACTCACTCTGCTCCCAGCCACTGCAGCCTTGACCAACTGGGCTCCGGCAATCCTTCTGCCTCAGCCTTCCAAGTAGCTGGAACTACAGGTGCGCGCTACCACACCCGGCTCATTTTGATTTATTGTAGAGATGAGGTCTCACCAAGTTGCCCAGGTGGGTCTCGAACCTGCAGCCTCAGGCAATCCCCTCACCTCAGCCTCCCAAAGGCGTGGGATTACAGGCTGAGCCACCAAGCCGGCTTAGGCTATCCTATTCTTACATCTGTGGGGATTTTCTTTTGGCTGGCTGAGGGTGTGAGGTATGTTGGTAAGTCTACAATCCAGCCTAGCCTGAAGTAAAAATGTAATAAGAAAAATGCCTGGATGCTTCCTAAAACAAGTCCTATAAGAAATTTATCTATTTATGCCTAACCCGTACTAGCTACCTTGGCTGAAGTCTCATGAGGTCAATGTGTGGTTTATTCTTGAATATCAGCTATTTTGAATACAGATTTTTTCCCAATTCAGTCATTTTTTACTTGTAATAATGTATAAGGTATGTAGTTTGTTTTGCTTTAAAAATGAATTTAGCCTGTTTTAAAAGCAGAAATAGCATTACTGTTATCATTATTGTAATCAGTCCGAAACTTATTTTCTGTAAAATTTCAAGGCTCAGGGGAAGGAAGCAGTGCAGACACATACTGTGTGTCAGATGAATTAAGATCCAGGCAGGTGAGGTAGCCTGACTTCCTGCCTCCCCGTCTGCTCTTGGTTTCACAGGTGCCTCACAGGCTGGGTGTATGAAAATCTGGAAGAAACAATTGTCACTATTTTCTCACAGCATCCATCTGTAGAATGAAAATTGAGATCTGGATTTGCTTCTTATTTGCAAAAATTTCAAATGTATTTCACTAGTAGTTTGTAATTAAAACAGAAGATTCTATCTACCACAGGGAGAACCTTCTCTCCCAACAACATGATTGAGAGCTGAAACATCTGAATGACTTTTAAATCTAGTCATTGTCTATTAAATTCATTGGACAACAGTAGTCCAGGCTCAGCTTTCTAATTCTGGAGTTTGGCAAACATGGACAGTATCTCGGTTGTTCATTGGGGATGGGAATGCCAGCTTTGGAGAGACCAGCCTGAACAGCATCTGCCTCTCCATTTAATGCTGACTCTATGCTCAGTCTTCCCAGGGATTTATTTGCCTGGCATCTTTCCCAAACTGATGCAGGGTAGCTAGCACAGGTGAGACCTAGATAGATAAATTTACTATAGGTAGGTTTTAGGAAGTTTTCAGACATTTTATTTTATTTTTATTTTTAATTATTATTATTTTTTTGAGTTAGAGTCTCACTCTGTCACCCAGACTGGAGTGCAGTGGCTGCTCCCGGCCACCGCAGCCTCGACCTGCTGGGCTCCGGCGATCCTTCCGCCTCAGCCTTCCAAGTAGCTGGAATTACAGGCATGCGCTACCACGCCCGGCTGATTTTTTGATTTATTGTAGAGATGAGGTCTTGCTACCCAGGCGGGTCTCGAACCCGCGGGTTCAGGCAATCCACTCACCTCAGCCTCCCAAAGGCACGGGATTACAGGCTGAGCCACCGAGCCCGACTGTTTTCAGACATTTTAAAAACTACATTTCAATGCAGGCCAAGCTGGCGGCCTACCTCATGCCCTCTGCAAATCAAGAGAAAACTCCATCAGATGCAAGACCAGGATAGCCCAACCTTTCAATTTATGGTTTAGCATAATAAACTCCAAGAATCTTTCAGGTTCCCTGTTGTAGGCCAAAGACCACTCCTTAACTGACCAAGGCCATAGAAATGATAATTGTAAAGTTTGCCGAAAAGGAGCACACACTCTATGTTCAGGCAAAGGAGTTTATTAAAGTAAAATGCCTGGGCTGACACCAAAGTGGCATCAGCCCCATCTTGAAGCAGGGAGGGTCTTTTATACGTGAGTAGCATGAGAGGGCCAGTAGTGGGAAATCTTTGCAAACAGTTGAGCTTGGGGGTAGGAGTAGGGGCTCCATGAGAAGTCGGTTAGATCTTTGGTTTCTATCTGTGTGAACCAGCTCCAGAGTTAGAGCAGAGCCTTCCTGTTTTTTGTTTGTTTGTTTGTTGAGTGAAGTCTCACTCTGTCGCCCAGGCAGGAGTGCAGTGGCACACACTCGGCCACCCCAGCATTGACCTGTTGGGCTCCGGAGATCCTTCTACCTCAGTCTTCCAAGTAGCTGGAACTACAGGCGCACACTACCACGCCTGGCTAATTTTTTATTTATTGTATAGACAAGGTCTCACCATGTTGCCCAGGCTGGTCTGGAAGCCGTGCCTCGGCCTTCCAAAGTGCTGGAATTATAGGCTGAGCCACAGAGCCCAGCCAGAACCTTCCAGTTTTGCAATATTAGGACAGGCTTGAGGGCAGTTAGAACAGGACCTTCCTGTTTTATAATATGAAGACAGGCTTGAGGGGCAATTTCCGATCAGTGGAGAGTGGGTGAGGAGAGGTGAGTGGTAGTCGTAGCTCCCTTACATTCCAGACTTTTGTTATATGGAACAGGGGCGAAGGTCTGTTTTCTATAGCATCTTCCTGAGAGAAGGGGCGCTGAGCCTGGGAGGTAAAAGGTAGAATTGGGAGGGGGTTTTGTTAGAGTGGGGTGGTAGAAAGTTGTTGATACTCAGATTGTGGCAGAAGTTCATGGACAGTTTGATTCGTAAAAGCATGGAAACAGTCCTGTAAAAAACTGGACAAGAGGTGTAAGAGACAGGGCCTGAAGACCAAGACGAGAAAAATAATTACCAAAGGAAGGGGAGTAGTTATCGCATTCAATTCCAAATTTTGGACCAGCTGCTCCGAATTTGTTTTGGCGCTGTCAGATTTTAGAGGCTCAGTCTGTTAACTTTTTTGCTGTCTCTAACTAGGCCAGACTGGTTTACATAAAAGCAGCATTCTTCTTCTAGGAATAGACATATCCCCCCCCTTTTCAGCTGTTAAGAGATCTAATGGTCTGTGATTTTGGAGGACATCTCCTTCTAGTGAATCTAATTAGTTTTGTAAGGTGACAATGCTCTCAGATATTTCATCTCACAAGTTTTCACATAATTGTTGGTAGAAAGAAAGAGAGGTAGATAAGCTGGCTACTCCTGTACCTACTCCTGCAGTTATCCCTAAGCCTATGAAGAGAGGAATAAGCTGTATAGCCTGTTTGGGTCTTGTGTGGATTAGGGGTATGGGTAATGCCTGATTGTTGGGAGCAATGTTAATTTCAGGTGTAAGGTAAGCTAGAGTACATGTCCCTGTTCAGTTAGTGGGGAGGCAGAGATAAGAACTAGTCCCACAGAGAAAGAATATTCCTGGAGTTTTGAGGTAGAAGTTCATTTCAGTAGTGAAAAGGTGGGGTATTTGGAGTTTTCATTTTTCCAGGTGGAGGGTGTTCCGGCTAAAGTGGTTCTGGTGTGGGGTCAGAAAGGCTCTTGAGAACTGACTTGTTTTGCATTGCCCATTTTATTTTCTAGATGGAGAAAATGTCTTTTTGTATCTATAAAGAACCATTTGTTGAGGCATTCATAAGCTGGTGTTAGGCATTCAGAGTGGGAAGAGTTAGAGCAGGATTCCCATGGAAAAATGTTTTTACAATCTGTTGGTCCTCCTTGACAGTAGCCCGAGTTTTTATTTTTTAATTCTGAAGCCTGTATTTTGGTTTAGCTGAAAAGCATACAAGTTTTGAAAAGGAGGTCGTTCGGGTTAGTTGGTAGTTAGCCCAATCATTTGATGC